TAGTAAAAGTACAAATTAAATTATTACACTATTATTCTACGAAAAGTATTGGTATATAAAATTCATATGGTCAAATCATGTGTTTCTTTAATGCTAGATATAAACAATACAAAGAAAACATATTATTATTTAAATTTTAGATATGTATTGTGCATTTATTATATTATGTCATGTTAATAGTAATTATTTTAATGAAGTTAAATTAAATTCAAGTTAAATTATATTATGTATAATAATAAATGTAATTATTTAATCATAATTCTAGTACAGCTACATTAAAAGTAATATACTATTAATATAATATGAACAGTATATAGTTTTTTTATGTAAATAATTAAATAATAATATTGATAATAGTAAAAGTAGGGCGCCACAGTGGCGCAGTGGGTAGCACAATCGCCTCACAGCAAGAAGGTCACTGCTTTGAGCCTCGGCTGGGTCAGATGGCATTTCTGTGTGGAGTTTGCATGTTCTCCCTGTGTTCGCAAGGGTTTTCTCTGGGTGCTCCGGTTACCCCACAGTTCAAAGACATGCGGTACAGGTGAATTGGGTAAGCTTAATTGGCCATGTGAATAAGCGGGTGTGGATGTTGCCCAGTAATGGGTTGCAGCTGGAAGGGCATCCACTGCGTAAAACATGCTGGATAAGTTGGTGGTTCATTCCGCTGTGGCGACCCCAGATTAATAAAAAGACTAAGCCGAAAAGAAAATGAATGAATGAATAGTAAAAGTACAAATTAAATTATTACACTATTATTCTAAGAAAAATGTTGGTTTATAAAATTCACATGGTCCAATCATGTGTTTCTTTAATGTTAGATATTAACATTGCAAAGAAAACATATTATTATTTTATTTTTAAATAAAATATGTATAATGCAATATTAATTATTTCATTTTTTGACCCCACTCTATTGTTTTTCAATGTCAAAATCCTGTAAGTTTCCCAGCAAACATTAAAAGCTTTCATGTTGCCACAGTCGTCTGCTGCTTTACCTGCAAATACAAGAGCACATTCAGGTAGCTTTCTTCTAGGTAATATTTCAGACTTGTTGAGCTTTGACGGTAATTAATTTACGCTATACAAAGACTGCAAATGTCCCATCTGGATTTAATTTCTAAATAAATTACTGAGGTGTTTCTCCATTATTTACTGATAATTGAGCTTCTGTTTACTGCATTGTTGTGCCGGAGAATTGAACAAAGACACCTGTGCTTCAGATGGTTCAGCGCTGATAAATCACACAAAACAAAATCAAACCATTGTCTTGTTAAAGCAGCAGTGCTTTTAAGAAAATATAACAAGCCTAAGTGTCTGTAATGTAAAGTAACGTCTATTTCTTAATGCGGCAATAATTGATAAAGCGTTGTTATTAGTGGCAATGGTGGACATCCAGTAAATTACAGCAACAACTTTAATACTGAATAGCATTCAGTAGCAAATGGCATATACAGTTGAAGTCAGAATTATTAGCCCCCTTTAAGCTTTTATTTGTTTTTTAAATACTTCCCAAATGATGTTTAACAGAGCAAGAAAATGTTTACTGTGTGTCTGATAATATTTTTTCTTCCTGAGAAAGTCTTATTTGTTTTATTTCAGCTAGAATAAAATCAGTTTTTAATTTTTTAAAAGTTATTTTAAGGTCAAAATTATTAGCCCCTTTAAGCAATATATTTTCTCGATAGGCTACAGAACAAACCATCGTTAAACAAAACTTGCCTAATTACTCTAACCTGCATAGTTAACCTAATTAACTTAGTTAAGCCTATTAATGTCAACTTAAGCTGTATAGAAGTGTCTTGAAAAATATTTAGTCAAATATTATTTACTGTCATCATGTCAAAGATAAAATAAAGCAGTTATTAGAAATGAGTTATTAAGACTATTATGTTTAAAAGTGTGTTGAAAAAAAATTCCTTAAATTAAAATTTGGGAAAAAATAAAACAGGAGGGCTAATAATTTTAGACTTTCCTGAATTATTAGCCCCTTGTTTATTTATTCCCCAATTTCTGTTTAACAGAGAGAAATAGTTTAATTTAAATGCAATAAATTTAGACTATAATAAAGACCAGTCCACAAAAATAATCCAGTCCACAATTACTTTTTTATATTGAGAACATGTCATTTTGTGGATATTTTTTCATTTTTTAATTTGGCAATTAAGAGTTAAAATTCTGTAATTTTTAAAAACATTTATGAGTTTTTATCAGGACTAAGGTTGATTTACAGATTTATGAATGGAAAAAAGAAAAAAACATTAATCTGATACATTTTTACAGCAGTTAAATTCAGTGAATGTTTTCATCCTGAATATAAGAAAATGGTAGTCAATTTGAACAGTGCACAAGCGTTAATAAACAAACGTTTGTGTTCCACTGGGAACAACACTAAACTCATACACTGCATGGTTGAGTGTACAAGTATGTAAGTGCATGGTGTGTCATTTGGGATGCAACTATAGATTTTCGTTTAACTCTTCTGAATTTAGAACATCATTATCATTGTGTTGTCTAAAATCAATGTAAACAGCTCTCAAATATGACATCTTTTTGGTTATTGTGGCCCTCTGACATTTTTGCAACAAAAGACAGCAATTTCATATTAAATTTGGGTCAAATTGTCATTAGTTTACAGAACAAAAAGCAAAATTATGTTTTACGCAGATAATTAATGAAATCGTAAATTCAGAGAGTGCTCTCTTAATTTCTTCTTATTTAAGTGCCAGACTGTTCAATCAATATATATAGGCTGCTGTGATGAGCATCATATTTTATTCCAAAGCTCAAAGGCGCTCTGGTTAGCATCTGGAAAATCAATGCTTTTTTCAGCTCGCATGCTGCTGTGCTGAAATTCCCACACCAAAGAACCCCAGATCTGATCTTACACAGAGTGAAGCTGATTACAATAGATCTGCTCTTGTGCACTTACAGCAGCTGTAGGTGGTAGAAAGCCCACACACACACACACACACACATATGTATGCGCTCTAAACACACAAGCAGCGACCTAAGAGCTGCGCCAATCATGAATCACATTATCCTCACTTTGTAATCATGCAGTGATTACAAGCATTTCCAGTTGAGAACAGTAGAAATGCTTTTCAAAGAATATGTAATGACTGTGAAACTGCTTTTTTTTTTGATGACGAAGGCTGCTACATGTAGATTTTTAAAGGTTGTTAAATGATCCACTGAATTGTGTTTTGTCTTTTCAGAATCTGCTAATGCTCCTGCAGAACCTTCCTACAATACACTGGGGCAACGAAGAGGTGGGTTTGCTTCTAGCAGAGGCCTACAGACTCAAATACATGTTTGCCGACGCTCCAAGCCACTACAAGAGATGAGAAACTCCCTAAACCAGACCACAGCTTGACCCAGACCATGATCTGACTTAACAACGGGAACATCTATGTTTAATCTGACGGTGGAAATCGAGCTAACCAATTGTCTCCAATGACATCAAATTTTGGTCATCATCTCTTATAATTCACGAACAAAATGGATATATTGGGTGGAAAACAAATATCTTGAGCAAAATGTGAGCAGATCAAACTCAAAACAGAAAGAGCCATTTGTTTATCCTCATCCATTTGTTACCTCAGATGTGGAGAAGCCACCTCTTGTTTTATTTTCTTGATTTTTTTTTTCTCCCCACGCCGCCGATGGTCTTGTGTTTTGTGTTATTAGACCATAATGTGATCTCCTCTGCCCCTTTTGCTCATTGCGACATTGATTGTACCACACACAGGTACACGGGTCGATTCCCGTCCGTAATCACTCAGAGACGGTGTTATTGAAGCTCTGCAATACATGAAACTATGGCAGCCATAAAGGGTCATTTCTCAAGGGACGCGCGGCCAAGCGTTACGGATTCGAAGAATCAATATGCAACCGCCTGAGCGAAGTGTTTGGGTTTTTCTTTCAGGTTTTTACGTTTGTTAGACTGTGAATTTTAACAATCAACTAATCTTTTTAAGTGGCTTTGTATGTATACAAAGCTCTTGCACAATTGTTTCCTAGAAAATGGGTACTTTTAGAGCTTTAGTTTTAGTGTTCGACGACTACTGAGGTGAAGACGGCTGAGTCAAACTGAGCTGAAATATTTATATGGCTTTATAAAGAATGAATCGGTGTGATGTGAGGTCATGGTACGAGACCGTGGGACTCTCAGGAGTTGTGTTGAAAGAAACCCACTGACTTAAAGAGACAGACTGAAGGCTTTCAGTTTTCACTGAAGTGTGGAAGAAAAAAAAATTGTGATTTTTAAATACTGCCGAAGTGCAGTCGATCTCAAACCACTGTGAAAAGGCATCTGCTGTTCGCATGTACAGTGGGTACGGAAAGTTTTTAGGCCCCCTTAAATTTTTCACTCCGTTAAATTGCTGCCAATTGCTAAAATTTCATAATATATTCTCATTAATATATACACAAAAGCCTACATTGACAGAAAAATACAGAATTGTTGACTTTTTTTTGTAGATTTATTAAAAAAGAAAAACTAAAATATCACATGGTCTTAAACATTCAGACCCCTTTTGATCTAATACAGTCATGTGTCTTTTGGCAAAGATGCAACAAGTTTTTCACACCTAGATTTGTGTGGAAAATGCTGTTGTACAGCCATTTTTAGTTCTGTCCAGAGATGCTCAATTGGGTCTAAGTCAGGGCTCTGGTTGGGCCATTCAAGAACAGTCATGGAGTTGTTGCGAAGCCACTACTTCGTTTTAGTAGATGTGTGCTTAGAGTTATTTGATCCTTTCACACCGTGAAACCGGTAAATATCCAGAAAATTTCCGACTTGACCGGCTTATTCAAAAAAGCGCTGTTCATACAGGCAAGGAAGTTACGAATTTTTTCGGAAATGACCATTCACAAATCCATTCTAAAATACCGG